GAATCCTCTTTCCTTTCCTCAATGCTGCTGGCAGGGGTCCAGCTCCAAAATGACCTGAGGACACATCAGACCTCAGACAGTGATAAGTTGTGATTCCCATCTCCTTTTATCCTGTTTAGAATACATTGGCTTTCCTCTCCCAAAACCCCCTTTACCCTTCTTGCTCCTGGCTGTTGTGGCTACACCAGACAATTTGCTGCTAGTTTTTCCTGGGAGGGAGGTTCCATCCCCCCCTCCCATACCTCCCCAGCAGAGCTCAGAAGTCTCCTTTCTGCCGGCTCCCTAAACCAACATCTCCTCCCTCTGGCAGATGCTGGAGGGAACCATTACCTATTCCTGCCCACAGTGGAGCATGCAAGTCTTCTTGCAACACTTTCTCCTATGAAAGGTCATTGCCCTTTAAGGTCCTTCCTATACCTAGAGGGAAAGGGAGCCAGGGAAAGGAACTGCAGGAAGATTGAAAATCTGTGGCTTTTTCTTGTTGTTGAATTTAGGAGAGGCCAGATGGTGGTCCTCACAGGGACTGTAGAATGTGAAAGCAAATCTGCACTATTCAGCATGGGGAGGACAGTTGCACTCCGTTCTGGTCAGGCCCCAGCTGGGGGATTAAGTGGTACTATAGTTTAGGAAGGATGTTCTGTGGGCATTATAGTTACGAAGGATGTTCTGGAATATGAAAAGCTTCTAAAGGAAGGCAACCTTGAGTTTATGCCATGTGAGGATCAGTGGAAGGAATTGGGGATAATTAGCCTAAAAGAAGGCTCCAGGGAGAACAGAGTAACTGAAGGGTTTCCTTGTGGAAGGGAGATCAGATTTCTTCTACTTAATCCTATAGGGCAGAACTAGGAGCAGCTGGTAAAAGATACAAAGGCAAATTTTGATTTGATGATATCTGGAAAAATGTCCTAATAATTAAAGCTGTGCAGAAATGCATTGGACTGCCTTGGGAGGTAGTGGGCCTTCCCTTACTGAAGCTATTCAAGCAGAGGTTGAATGACTACTTGGTAAGTATATTTCAATAGGGATTCATTTTCCATTGCGGGTTAGAATAGAAAACCTGTAATATTTCTCCATTGGTAAGAGATTTATGGAGGCAGCTAGGTGGTACAGTGGACAGAGTGCTGGGCTGGCAATCGGGAAGACTCATCTTCCTGAATTCAAATCCAGCCTCAGACACTAGCTGTGTGACCCTGGGCCAGTCACTTCCCTGTTTGCCTCAGGTTCCTCATCTGTCAAATGAGCTGGAGGGGGACATGGCAAACCACTCCAGCATCTCTGCCAAGAAAACTTCAAATAGGGTCACAAAGAGTCAGACACAACTGAAAAAACACTGAGCAACAATGAGATTTATGCTGCTTTCCTATGTCATCAGTTTCAGTTCTTGCATTAAGTCTTTGTGACAGAGCCAGTATCTGTCCTCTCCCTGTACTCTGTTGTGCAATAGTTAGGTAAAGAGGGCAGCTAGGTGGCGCAGTGGATAGAGCACTGGCCCTGAAGTCAGGAAGACCTGAGTTCAAATCCAGCATTTGACCAAACACTTGACACTTACTAGCTGTGTGACCCTGGGCAAGTCACTTAACCCCAATTGCCTAAAAAACAAACAAACAACAAAAAAAAAACCACATGCACACAAAAAATAGGTAGAGGTACTATCTCTTGTAGCAGTCCTAGAAGGGATAATGTGGTACAAGGGCTATGTTCTTCCCTGCTTCAATCCAAAAATTGTTTTCCTGTGTCAGTTTCATATGGTGCAGTTGGATTTTGATTCCACCTCTCCCAATGTAGTTCCTGTATGAAAATTTGCCTGTGACCAGGCTCTGACTTCGTCCACAGCTCTTGCCTGAGACCACAGCGCTGGCCTGGTATCGTGAGCTGAATCATGTTGGGGCCAAGTCCCAACCAGTACTTTTGTCTGAAATTTCTGTCTCCTGGGGTGTCTTCTGTTCCTGGTTGCACTGGCTTTGTCTGCTTCTTTGTGTAGACACCTGCTAGGCTCCAGCTCTTGAAGCATGCCTGACTTAAGATTGTATTGGCTTAACAACTGTCTTCTAGGGCATTTCAAGGTCATAGCTGTATTGGCCTTGGCTTACTTCCTTGTGTAGTCACTCACCCAGAAAGCTGTGGCTTCAGGCTCCAGCTACTAGAGAAATCGCACCAGATATGGCATTGACTTTAGGCCTATCTCCTGGGGGATCCCCAAATCCCCAGTCCTGCTTGCCTTGATTTCTTTGTATCATCTCCTATGGAGAGGCTTTGACCCCTGGAGTAGCCCTAGCTTTGTGCAGTTCATTATAGAATGGTCCTTTTATTTAGTTCTGGTGTTTCATATGGTGCTGTTCTTAATCATTAGTAGGTGTTTCTCAGGGATTGCCTGGAAATTTTTATTTTGCCATCTTAACTAGAAGTCTCAAACATGTTTCCCAATGTATTTTTTTTAAACCATCCTTCCCTATGCCCGCTTTTGCACTGGAGTCACCAAGATCAATATAAATGTCAGTGGCTTGGTTTGAAGGATTTTGTTAAGTTCTTCATAGAATTTCTCTACTTTACCTTAGGCAACAAATGTTAGTACGTAAGTTGCAATTACCTTTATGGTGGACTTTTTGCTTATGATCACCATGAGCACTGCAGAATGAAATGACCAAGTGTTTCCTGAAATTATTTTTTGTTACTCTCAGCACAATATGAAAACAATTCTTTTATTTGTCTTTTCAGAGATGACCTGTCAACCATACTTCTACTTCACTGCAACTTCCTTTTAACTTCTAAATTAATTTATTGTGAAAATGTCAGTATTTATAGAGGTAGCATGGAATAATGGATAAAGAGCCAGACCTGAAGCCAAGAAGACCTGGGTCCCACCTCTGACACATACCTTGGGCAAGTCATTTAACCTCCAAGTGCTTTAGGCAACTCTCTAAGACTATAAATTGCAGAGAAGATGCTAACCTGCATTGGTAGAGGGAGTTTCCTTACTCAGATGTTTCCTATACCAACGAAATCACAAGTCCAGTCCTCAACTTTATTAGTGTTTATTTAGGTAATTTGTTCCAGTAATGTATCAACTCATTAATCATTGGACAAAGAGTTTGCATTTAGTCAGTCAGTCAACAAGCATTTAGTAAATATATACTATGGGCCAGGCACCATGCTAAGCCCTTGGGGATACATTTATACAAGCAAAAAGAAAGACAGCCCGGCCCTCAAGGAACTTACATTCTAGTGGGGGAAGACAACACGTAAAAGAGAGCTGAAAAGGATAGGGGGTAGAAGCGGGAGGTCCTGTTAGTATTGAAGTCTAGAGTCAGAAATAGACCTAGAAGAATATTTAAGGATAGCTGGCCTGAGCCCTTCCTCAAAGCAGTCAGTCAAATAAATGTTTATAGACAATTTAAAGCCTGTGATTTTTAGCACCTCCTACTGCTATCTCTGTCACTGTTACTTCAGAAGGGTAAAGGCCATTTTGCACTTGTCCATTTGTCTGTCTGTCATCTATCTATCTATCTTTCTATCTTGATAAAACAACCAACCCTTCTAATGGGCCCTAGGCTCAAGGCACTTCAGGTCTGCCAGCAGACAAGGTCATTCTTTCCCTCCTTCTTGACCAGATGACAACCTTGTGAACTTCAAAAGGGCAGAAGACAAGGAGATCTCATTAGCATCCATAGAAGTGTCCACTGGAGCAGCAATGGCTGATAGCAGCATCTGTACCAAGAGCTGATAGACACGAAGAGGGTAAACTAGATACACTGAGGAAAGGTAGCTTCAGGACTTTATAAGGACATTGATCTTTGAAACCCCAAACTATACCTAAGGGGAACTTCATGGGGACTCCACAGAGGAAGAAAAGGTCTTGTAGCAAACAAAAGCTATGAGTTTACCCTTCAGCCATACACTAAATATTAGCCCACTGTCCCTAAAGACCTTCTGCAAAAGAAAAATGTGCCCTCACTGCCTTTCAAGGAATGTTTCTGTAACTGCTCTTGCTCTACCTGCTTGTAAATGCCCTTTCTAAAAGCTAAGACAAGGAAGCACACCAACGGGGGCTCGAGAGCAACAATGATAGAAACCCCATCCCCTTAGGTTTATCTGTACAGCCCTAAGAGTAGTCAAGTCACTCCATGGGAGGCCCAGCCTGCCAATAACAGTTGGGAACTGGAAAAATAGTCTGGGAGGGGGTGATATGCCATTAGATCACGTTTAAAGGCTGAAGGAACATAGCTGAAGAGAAAGTCTATGAGCCTATTTTCTCAACTACCTATTTGACTTTCCTCCCTCACAAGCAGCACTATGGAGACCAAATGAGCTAGCAAACATCAAAGGTTTTTGGAAGAAGGTTTGGTACAGTAGTAATGAAAGGCAACTGAAATGCAAGTGGATTCAGATGTTGGATGCAGCCCCGTCTTTGCCACTAGCTACCAGTTAAGATCTGCTCTAGGGGAAGTCATTTCCCCTTTCTGAGCCTCAGTTTACTTCTTTGTAACATTAGGGGAGGAGCAGGGATTGCACTAAATCAGTTCTAGGGTCCAGTCCAGTTCTAATAGTGCAGGAACATTAAGGTGAAAGCAGGACAAAGACGTGGCAAATGGAAATAGTGCAAAAGGGCGGAGAATGGTTCAGAGTACAAGGACCTCACTCCAAGAAATCAAACGCTCAGAGCCAGATTCAATCCCGGCCACGAGCGCCTAGTGCCACGGCCCCGCCCCCTAGGGGGCGGTGCTAGAGAGAAGGCATGCGCTCCCTCCCTCCTCCCGTTCTCTGTCATTCCTCTCAGGACCCTTGAGGGTCCTCCAAGACTACCTATCATAATTGCCTGATTCAAATATGCCATTTCGCCTCGACATGTCCTCCTGGATAAACTAGGTGGTCTTGCTCACTGCGATAGAAGAGACGACTAAAAGGCTCTCTTCTTCTTCCCCTTTGACATACCCTTCGGTCCCGTCGGCCGGCTAGTTAGTCAGGTGCCTATAGAGTCAACCCAAAGTAAAGAGCGGAAATAGAAGTGGGACCTGAAGCCGGAAGCCGGAAGCGGGTCTGTGGTGGACGTGTTCAGGGGAACCGGGAGCCGGCGGGACTGAGCAATGGATCCGCTGTACCAGCAGACCCACAAGTGAGGGCCTGAAGGGGCCGGGGCACAGGACTCTAGGAGCCCCGGCCCTGGGGGCGGGGAGGCGGGCCGCGGGCCAAGGGTAGCGGATGTCGGTCAGTCGGTTACCGAGGACGCCAAGATTGCCCTCCCTGTCCCCGCCACTCTGTGCCTGGCTCGGCTGGCCTGTCAGCCTTGGGGGCGTAGTGGGAGGGGCGGTCCTCGGGCTGGCTGAGCACCCCCCGCCCTCCACATTCGAAGACCCCGTCCTGAGCTCACTTTTCAGATTCCCTGGTCTCGGAGTGGGTCTTCTTAGGAGGGGGAAGCTCCGTACTCTCCTCCCAGCTCAGCCCTGGGCCCAGAGCTTAGCAGACGCCCCTTAAATGCCTATTGCAGGGATGAGTTTGGAGGTGTCATGTTTTGTGGTGTAGTGAAAAGAGTGCTGGATTTGGAGTCCACAGATCTAGGTTCAAATCCCAGTTCTCCTATCTGAGTGACCTCACTTTTCTGGGCATTATTTTCCTCCTCTGTAAAACATGAGCGGGTTAGGCAAAATGATCTCTTAAGGTTCCTTCCAGCATTAAATCCTGTGGTCAGTTGAAAGCAGCCTGTGCCACAGGCGCATCTACTTTTTGGAGGTCCTTTTCACTATCATGCCTCAGTTTTTCTTCTCCTCCATTCTTTGGTCTTTACTTTTTTTGTTTGTTTTCCTCTGCCAGATTTCCTTCTCCCAGTCTACTTTCTTTAGGCTTGTCAGTGAAACAATGTAATGGCTTGGTCAGACTGGAAACCTTCATGATAAAAGAGGTCACTGAGCCCTAAGTTAGTCTTTCTGGCTAGAATAACTAAAAAGAAAATTTTTAAATGCCTGATTCACATGAAACAATGTGTTAAGATAGATAATGTTTTAGGAAGGCAGAGGAAGGAGAGAATGTTGCAGAGTCTTCAGGCCTCAGTCAGCAATTATTAAGCACCTGTTATATTCCAGGTATTTTGCTAGGATATAAATATAAAAGGGAGATCTTTGCCCTCAAAGGGCCTATATTACACTGGTCTTGGGGGTGGGAGGGTGGATAGTTTGAGGTATATTCATGTATATAGAATATATACAAATAAGTACAGGTGATGAGGGTGAGTTGGGAACTATCAACTCTGGGAGTCAGGAAAGGACTGAAAAATATGGCACTTAAGCCGAAGGAAGAAAGAAGTAGAGAAAATGGGTGAGAGCGTTCCAGACCTAAGGCACAACCTCTGCAAAGGCAAGGCCAGAGGTGAAATATTGGGTATGGAGACTAGCCAGTAAAGAGGTAGAATGGGGAAGAGGGAGTAGTGTGTAATAAACCTGGAAAGGCTGGAGCCAAGTTGTGAAGGACTTTAAAATTCCAAACAGGAATTGTTAGTTTATCCTAGAGGCAGTGGGGTGCCATTGAAACTTCTTGAGCAGGGACTGACATGATCAGACCTACACTTTAAGAAGGATTGATGAGGGGAGAAACTGGTTGCAGGGAAAATAATTAGCTATTGTAGTAATTCAGGTGAAGAGGGACTGAACTATAGTGGTGCCATGTGAGGAGAGAGGAGACAGACCAGAGATGTTGAGATGTTAAAATCAATAAAAAGTCTTTCATAATAACTAATATTTCTTGAGTGACTCCAAAGTAGGGAAACTGGATGTTTCACCACACTGCAATCACCCTAAGGCTTCCTGAAGCTACACAGAAATTGGTGTTACATGCACTAGTGTTTTATACTACAATTTTAACTAGAAGGGAAGGTTCAGGTAATAGCAACTGCTTCACAAGTAATTTGCATAGTATTACCCAATATTCCTATACATTTGTAGGATGATGTTACATCAATTTCTAAAGAGCCTTTGTCATGTTGAATTCTTAAGGGAAACATCTAAGTCTTTGTACAGGTTTCCCCCTTATTTAGAAACGGTAGTTTTTTAGAGCATTGAACAGGTGTTAATGGATGGTAGGATGAGTTAAATCTCAATAACCTCCATAGGACCTCTAACTTGTGTTACGGTAGAATTTTGTTTTACTGTGTACATTAGTATATGACTTATTTCCCATCTAGAGGGTTGGGAGGTAAAGCAGTTGGCATTGAACTTCTCTTATATTAAGAAATAATTTAGACTCATCAGGGGAAAGAGTACCCACCCTTCCCTTTTCTAGGATCATGAAATTTTTTGTATAACCTTTTCTCCCCATAAATAGATGGCATAGCAATTGGGATGTTTTGCGGTGGAGATAGCTGGGGAGCAGTAGAAATTGGAAGTGGCATTGTGACCACTGATGGTGTATGCAACATTCTGCCTTAGTAGCCCCCCATCTCTCTAACAAGAGGAGAGTTGTATGTTTCATTCTCTTTCTTCAGTTTTGGTTTTCCATTTCCTTGGTTTGGCTTCTGATTAGTGATCTTCTACATTGTCATTAATTTTTAGTGATATTTTGAGTAATCTTGTTTCACTCTGTATCAATTCATTCAAGTCTTCCTGTGTTTCTCCAGAGTTTTCATGTTCATTTTTACTGTACAGTGATGTTCCATTATGTTCATATGGCATAGTTTTTGGCCATTCTTTAATTGATGGACAACCCACCTTGTTTCCAGTTCTTTGCTACCACAACACATGCTGCTATGAGGATATTTTGGTAAATATTGGACTTTTGTTCCTGTCTTTGACCTCTTTGGAATCTATGCTCCATGCTGGAATCATTGGATTAGGGGAAGTGCAGTTTAATCACTTTACTTGCATAATTCCAAATTGATCTGCAGAACAGCTGGGTCAGTTTCCATCTCCTCCAAGTATATCAGTATGCCTGTCTTCCTTCATCCCCTCCAACATTTACTGTTCCCATTTCTTCAATCAGTAAATCAAGGAGACTTTATTACTGTGTACCAGGCACTATGCCTAGCACTAGGGATACAGAGATAGAGTGAAATAATCCCTACTCAAGGAGGTTATATTCTACTGGACTTGACAAGTACATGTGTCAGTATGTACAGAATAAATATCAAGACAATAAATACAAGGAAGGAGAGCATTTAGTTGGAGTGTGATCAGGAAAGGTTTCATATAGAAGTTCGTGAGCACTTCTTGAAGTTGGTGCTTGAAGTAAGAGAAGGTCTCTGAGCAAAGAGTGCATTCCAGGCACAGAGAAGGCTTATTTGGCTGGCTAATAGAGTGCCTTGGGAGGTATGTTAATAGCCTGGTGCGTGAGTGGCTATCATTTTGGTTTCCTGAGTTTAAAACAACATCAAAAAGAAAGAAGGCACTAGCACTTCAATTAAAGAGTACATGTATCTCCCAAGAAGAGTAGTTTTTTTTTTATCGTGCCCTAGTTACCATGAACAAAGTTATTTTTTCCCTCCTTAAAGAAGTGGACTGAGTTTTCAACATTTAAGACTTTCACGTTTCTGTGATGAAAGGTGAGATGAATGTACAGTGGGACTGGAAAGATAGGTTGGGGCCTGATTATAAAGTACTTTAAAAGCTAAATAAAAGTTTTTATTTTATCATTTTTACCAACTTTCAATATATAAAATGAAACCTGAGAGTTACTTTAATTCAGTATCACATATTTTTAAGCAAGTTCACTGTAACCTAATCAATATAAAACTTCCTATGGAACACAGTGCTTTGCTCTTAATATATGTCTGTGCATGCAAATACCACAGTACCATACTAAATAGCATTGTTATATAGAGCCTTCTTTTTATTCAAAGGAATGGGATTTGCTTCTGTTGAGAATCCTCTTCTTGTGCTAAAACAAATTATGATATAATCTGAAAGATCAATTATTATTTTGGTAATCTAGGTAAAGAAGATAATTCCCTTACAACTAAGGATATATCTTTTACAGGAGTATGGCTCAACAATTTATTGAGATTTTTGTGAAGTAATGTCTCATTTGGTTAGTTATTCTTATTTGATGAGAGAATGCTATTAATGGGTCCATGGTCCAGTTTGCTTTGCACAAAGAAAAGCTAATCAGAGCCCTTCAGATTACTCTCTTGACCTCTGTCAGTTTTTCTCAAATTTATGCAACTGGTCTCAAGAGTAATATGGGTGGCATAGCACAAATCATCTCTATTGGGTAGGGGGGAGGGAACCTAAAATATGCTCCATAATGAGTATGGAGCATAGGTGCTAGGAATATATTCCGGCAGTTGTCAGAAAATCTGTATATGATTTCACTTGAATGACCTGAATTTATAAACCACCCTGCAGGTACTGGACAGAGTTAGGAGATTTCTGTTTTAATCTTGGCACTACCACTGACAGATTGAAGCTAATGTACCAACTAGAAGAAGATGTGGTACTCAACCTCTCCAGAGGCTTAGGTTTTTCATCCATAAAATTGGATTGGATGGAATGACCTCACTAGTCCTGGATCCAACAGTCTGTGATTTAGTGTCTTTAGAAAAAAAAGAAAGAAACTTCCTGAGTCATACAGTATTGAACCATACAAATGCCAGCACCTAGCTCTTGAGATTGCAGAAACAATTGCATTAAGTGGAAATAGTTGAAAACATATGGCTGAAATGGCTTATTTGGTTTGCTAGAACTTTGAACTCAAACTTGTTATCTTTTGCCACGTCTGAAAGAGCACCGGAATTAGTCATGGTATCTGAAGTCTATACTTGTCTGACTTGATTTGAGTGCAGTCAGACCCACATAGAGAATAAATTGGTCACAAAAAAAACCCCAAACTTTTTTACTACATAATATTGTACTTGGTCTTAAGCATTGGGGTAAAATTAATAGTTTTGTCCACATTTGTTAGTTTCTGGTATATATTAAAGACACCCTAATTTGTCCCCCATCACGACCAGAAAGTTTTTCCTTTTTAAGTTTTCCTTGGGGAGCAGTGTCCTTTGATGAACAGGCTGTATAGAAGCAATGGGATGAGGTAAAAGAAATGAACACATTTGTAGATAACCTGTCTTTCAAGTAGAAGGTGGAACAGGTTATTTTACATATGCTGTGCCAACTTTGAACCTCAACGCAGCTAAAA